CAAAGAAAAGTATTAAAAAAGGAGGTCCAGTTTCGTAATTTAAAATCTGCTTAGAAGGCTAACTTTAAATTTGGTTAGGAAAGTTAAAATAAATGGAGGGGGTTGTAAGGGCAAGCATGGAATACAAGGCAAAATGTGTGCTTCCATCTTGTGACACAACAGCAAAAAAATTAACGCAACATCAGACAAAAGTAGATATTCATACACAAGCAGCAGAAAAAAAGCAGATATCCATACATAACGCGAGCCATCAGCCAAAAAAAAAAAGAGAAAGAGAGATTAATACACAGCTGCGTTTAAGGTAAATAGCAGTCAGTTTCAACGCACAGTGAAGCTTCAGATAGAAGTACTAAATAATTGGAGTAAATCATCAACATTAGGAAAATCACCTTTAAAAAATTACACAAAATGATCGAGAAAAACCAGCTGAAATACTTCCGAGTAAGACTTCACATACATACAGTTAATAATAACTCCTGGTAATAAATCAGGAATGCATAAGTTAAGCTCTAGAAATGGTACTGAAGTTTAGGGAGAAAACAATCATCCCATTGAAAGGGATTAAATTTATAAATTTAAGTACAAAATGCAAAATAAATAAGTAACAAATACAAATAAATAAATGAAATAACATTTCATAAATTACAAATAATAAATACATTATAAATTATTATTATTATAATAATTTATTAGTATTTATTATTATAATTTATTATTATTATTTCTACAAAAATAAATGAGTAAGTAAAAGAAAACTCATCCCTTCGTTTATACGCATTCCTATTTCAAAGAAAAGCAGAAAAACTTTCCCTTTCTTGTATTTAAAACTGAAGGTTTCTTATAGTTAAAACTGAACTGCGGTCTTTGCCAAGAACAATAGTGTTCGTCAATGCTCAAAAATAATTTTAAAAAGTAAATAAAAATCTCCGAACTTTCTAAATTTCCGAATAAGACACATTAAGAAAAGAAAAATTTAGGAACAACTCAAAAACACGTCCGCACCTTTTCCTATCCTCCCAATCCGCTTTAAAAACAGGAAAGAAGTCTTCTAGCTGATAATTTAGAGGATAGCGAAGGGTGCGGACGTGTTTTGGAGTTGTCCCTAAATTTGTCTTTTATTAATGTTCTTACTCAGCAGTTCAGAAAGTTCGAAGTTTTTTTTTACTTTTCTCGAGAACAACTCAACTCTCGCAATTTGAAAAAAAAAAAATTGGAATTCTTGGACCTAGTGCAATGGAGCTCTTTTGAGCTAGAATTCGACTCGTAATAAACCGACCCAGTTTCGGGTCTCGCATCATGCGACGCAGCACTTATCACTGCTGTTAATAGATGAACCGAACAAGTATTCCTGGGTTATCGCGCTGTTACCAGCTCCTGAAATATGCCCAGAGGGCATCTGACTTTGAAAAGGTCCAGACGTAGTAATTTCCAGAAGAAAAAATCTTGAGAGTCGGGCATGACAGGCGAAGAGAGAATCTTGAATCAAATCCTGACGGTAGAGAAACAGGGTCATAAGGTTGCGCCACCTGGAAGGCCCTATGGGAACTAAAAAGAGAAAAACAGTTTTTAGTAGTCATACATCAGAGTCCAAACTGGAGATTACAGCTCCACTTTAATCATTGTTTCCACCATTTCTAATGCAAATCATTGTAAAAGTTCTTTAAATTCCATAAAAATTGAAAAATCTTGTGCACTTATAATAAAAGTGCAAGCAACTACAAAGGCCTCACAAACCACGGGATCGCTACATTGGTGACCTGCTTAACTACAGACCCTTCCCTCCTCTGAGGACGAATGACGAACTACGTCACACGCTCTACCCCACAACCGAATGGCGACACTCATGCCAACAAAACGGAGTTTCTCGACCATCTTCCTCATATCGCATCATAGATAGATGCTTGAGTGAAGCGATCTCGAGAACAACTCAACGCTCGCAATTTGAAAAGAGTTGGATTTCTTGAATCTAGCGCAATTGAGCTCTTTTGGGCTAGCGATAAAGAATTCGACTCGTAAAAACCGACCCACGTTCGGGTCCCCTTCATGCGATGCAGCACTTCTCACTGGTGTCACATGACGACACGAGCAAGCAACTACCGAGTTTCACCAACCATGTGATCGCTACACTTTTACTTAATTTCGAGCATTGACGAGCATTTTTGTTCTTCAAATAGATGTAGAAATAGAAAATCCTTTGTTTATGTATTCCAAGAATTTAAAATATTCAACTTGACCATGGAAATTCAGATTTTACGGATTAAATCTGAATTTCCATGGTCAAGGTAGGAGGTTTTTCTTCCTTCTTCTTCATCATTAGCTTTTATCGGTCATTATTTGTGATCTGAATCCTTCATTTTTAGCTGCAAAAGAAAGGAAAATGTTTTCTGCTTATTAAAATTAGGAATGCGTATGAACGGGGAGGAGGGCTGTTTTTCTGTTACTTATACATTTATTTTTGTTGCAATAATTTCAGTACTTACATAGTTAGATTTTTAAATGTAATCCCTCATGTAGGGATGATTGTTTTGCTCTGTAAAAGTCAGTACAATTCCTGAAGCGTAACTTGTGCATTCGTTATTTATTGCCAGGAGTCTTATTATTATAATTATTATTTATTTCAAATTTTTCTATTCTATATGAATGTTGAAGTTTTATGTGGAAGTGTTTCATCTTTTTTTTCTCGCTCATTACATGAAATTTTTAAGGTGATGATTAATACATAATATTGGTGATTTACTCGAATAATTTAGCACCTTCATCTGTAGCTTCACTCTGCTTTCTAGTTAAATGCTATTTACGTTGTACGCAGCTGTGTATGGATATTTTTTTAATTTTTATTTATTTATTTATTATTTTTGGCTGATGATGTCTCGTATTGTGTACAGATATTTGCTCTTGTTTATTGTTGTGTTTCCTTTTGCTGTTTTGTCAGAAGTAGGAAACAAACGTGTTGCTTTGTACTACAGGCTTGGACTTGACCCCCTTCATTTATTTTTAATTTAATTTTTGTTTATTTATTTTTTATTTTTACTTTCCTGTCTTGACTCAAATTTGGATCAAGGAAGTTAATTTACGTTGTGCGCTAGGCTAAGCCTTTAACTCCACATCATCAGAGATAAAATACATCAAAAGAGAGGTTCATCTAATACGGAAAAAATTTAGAAACCTAATTTATAACAATAAAAGTTTTTCAGATAATGTCTTCCTCATGAGAAAAAAGGTAAAATCTCATAGAAGGTCTTTTTATTTAAATTTCGTGTATAAAAAGGGCTCGAATTCAATTTGGATAGGGCAATCATCATTCAAAAAATTTGGAGTAGAATTAAAAAGGTGCGAAATGTTTCCTTGATTCTTGATATTAACAGTAAAATAAAAATCCTAAAAACAAGCAGTCCAGATGGAAAGAGCTAGCACGAGTTCAGTGAACTTGCATCCACTCGGGGTAACTGGGCGAAATAGGCGACGGGGAAAACCCGTTAGGCGGGTTCTAGAAGCAAAGAATATGTATTGTTCATACACATTCTTTGCTAGAAGTAAGTCAGAGTAACAGCTGATGGAAGAGAAGTTTTGGTCGCTATTCAATTTCACTAATTTGTCTTACTAACTAGATTTTAAATTGTTATGTAACTAGACCCACATTCTTTTTTTTTTTTCTTTGGCATTGCCGGCGCTCTCGGCTAGCTTACGCACACTTACAGATTTCAAAAAGCCCTCTCCTGTTCAGAGTTTTTTCCCCTTCTGATGGGAAACAAATGTTCAGGATTGCTCATTTACTGGAACGAAGCATCCTCCCCCTTTTTTAACTCTTTTTACAACATTATATTTACAACAGTACGTTAGAGCCTTCATTATGAGGTGACAAGTCACATGAACTTCCCCATTTTTTAACACTTTTTTTTTTGTTCCACCTTTAGGATGCATTCATGGTTAGATAGAAACGAAGCTTTAAGAAAGAAAAATAAATTCTGATTACGAGAGTGTCGCTTTGAAAACTATAAGTGTGCTTGGGCTAGTTGAAAGCGTCGGAAAACCAATGAAAATAAAGAAAAAAAAAAAAAAAAAGAAGAAGATGAGTTTCAGTTACATAACAGTTTAAAATCTAGTTAAGAAGTTAACTTTATGCTATGACGGAAAAGTAAAAATAAAGATAATTATAATTTAAAAAATGTCAGTCAAGGAATACAAGACAATATGTTTGCTTTTACCTTGAGACAAAACAGCAAAAAGATGCATAACAAAAGACAAATGTATATAATACTTTAACTACACCGCTTCCAACATGTTCACACATTTTTTCAGAGAACAGCAGCAGACAAAAGCATAATCTATATAATATTTAAATGTGAAAACCTTTTAAGCGTACTTAAAAAAGGTCTGAGATGGAATTCATTTATTTATTATTTTCAAAAGATTCTAGTATTAAACAATAGTTAGTAATTTCTCATAGTTATGTGCTTTCTTTCTTGTAACTTCTCTGAACAGGCGCTACTTTCTGATTCCCCGTTTCTTGCTTTGAGGAATTTATTAAGCGGGAAAAGGGTTATTTGAATGTTTTGTTTTAGGTTTCGTTTATGTTACGTGCTGCAGAAAATTAAGAGCGAAGATTAGATTCTTTCTAGAGACAGGGAAACCTTCAGTTTGATAAAGGAGACATTGCAGAGAAAAAAATGCAAAAACTTATTTACACATTTAAAAATTTCGGAGCTCTGCTAAAATATTAACGCCATTGTTTGTGATCCAGTGAAAACATACCGTTTATAACAAATAAACAACTTAATGTGATACAGTGATGTATTTCCTCAGCACTTGTTCTAAGTGCTAAGTAATTCCATTAAAAAGCCTTCAAATGGGTTCAAATTCAAATTTTCTTGCATTTTCTGGGTCAAAATTTCCGCTCATGTAAACTGGCCTTTGCTAAGGCTACTATCTCTAGTAGCTTTAGCCTTTGCGGACCGCCTACACTGAGGCGTCAACATTAATAAAATCAGCAAAGCTTGAATGAATACACTTTTAAGTTATGGCAACAATCAGTGTGACACATTTTGAAATTTGTTTGAGAGTTATGTTTTGATGTAATAACTGTGATAGTGAATGTATTGATTTTTTACATTTTTAGCTGTATCTATTTTATACATATTTTAGCTATGGATTTTGAGGAGTCATTTTTTAATGATTCTGAGGTCGGTATATGTTTCATATAATACAAAAACATTCCAGTAGTTTTTCCTACCGTGAAAATTTTTCATATATTAAATACATATGCTGTGTATTGAATGTACTTGAATGTCGTATTTTTTTATTTAATATAGTATATAATAGGAAATAAATAGGGAAAAGAAAAATACAACGTTGGAAGGTCGTTGAAGAAACGTGAATCATTGGTATGTTCCAAAGAGAAACAAAAGTTTTCCGACTGGAAATACGTTTGGAAAACAATAGATCTGCAAAGACCCTGATACCGCTAATTAAAAAGCACGTGGCAGCGGGACTAACCATCATAACTGATGAATGGCCTACTCATCTTTAGCCAGGAATGGATATTCTGTGCACCAGACCGTCAATCATTCTACCAATTTGTTAATCCGGTAAATGATGCACATACACAGTCCATAGAGTCAAGAAAACCTGGCAGATCACCTGCTAGGATACATATTTCGGCGTGGAATAAGTTATGATAATAATGATCCATTCACAGAAATTTCGGTTCAAGGACTGTTTTCCTGTAACATAACAAGTCTCTGGCAGTTTCCTTAACAGCACAGTTTTTTTTGGGGGGGGGGGGGAAAGAGCCCTTTTTCAGGGTCAAACAGATTTAACAAAAGAGATATGAAGTATTGCTAAGCCTAAGTATTATTATATATACTTTTATTTATATGCTTTATCATGTTTAACCAGTTAATATTATGTCTTTTCCTACTAACACTAATTTATATGCTTTAAATATCATGTTTAAACGTTTGATATTATGTCTTTTCCTGCTAACTTTAATTTATATGCGTTTAATATGTTTCTTTAATTTATATGCTTTATATATTATGGTTAACCTGTTTATTTTACTTCCATATGCTAAATAACTTGTAAATTAACTGTACACCACTAAAATCATGGCCATTGGCGAGCTTGGAGAGTAAATAAGCACTGCCACCAATGGATCCTTTGTGGAAGAAAACTTGAAATTTCAGACTAGTTGCTGTTTTTTTTTTTTTTTTTTTTTTTTTTTTTTTTGTTTTTTTTTTTTTTTTTTTAATTTGTTATAGGTATTTAAGGCATTTAATGATATCCTAGTTTTATAGATGAATACATTGTAAAACTGCTAAATAAACACATTTGAATAATAATAATAATAATAATAAAAAAGACCAAATTCACCTCATTGTGATATCTGTGAATTTAAGAGTTGCATTGGAAGCACTTCTGCAGAGAACCCGGTAAATGTAAACATCGCCAACTTTGGCGATAATAGTTCAAACCTGGTCACCTATTCGCTTGTTCAAAGTTTGCAACCATTCCTCATGCGTTCATTTTATTGAATTATCACTGTTGGTCGCATTTGTAGATTTATATTATTCTTTTTTTCTTTATTAATATTTTTTCTGAATTTTTTAACAACGAATAGATAGAAATAGTATTTTCATAGATATATGCTGGTTCTCGGTTCGCGATGAAGGAAGAAATACGGCGGGAGGGGGTGAATGCTAATTTGTACACGGCTGTTCACGTTGTGTTCTTAATTAGTAACAGCTCTAAGAACCATGAGGTTTCCAACCTCTAAAATAATTTTTTTCGTAAGCCGCAAAAATTTGCATGTGCATTTTAAATAATTAAGAAATGCTTTTATTTTTTTATATTGGTTATTGTCATCTAAAGTTATGAGAATAAATCAATTTTATATGGCGTAAATTTTAACAATAATAATTATTGTTAATGGCTTTTCTAACAATAACCTTTCAAGGATGGCGGTTGTGACATAAGATGATTAAATTGAAATAAAAAATATTATTGATTATCTAAGATGGACAGAACAGTTCGATGCATCACCATGATCATCAAAATTAGCAAACCACTGCTGGTGTAAGGGATATATTGTTTTCTGTGTTAACTGGATTTACGACAAATTTTTTCCGTATATCACGCTTAAAAACCGGTTAATTTCAGTTATAATACTATTTATATTTTTAAAATGAATTTTTTATTTCCATTATAAATCGTTATATATTGTCTTATTCTTAATATATTCTTTTCTGTGCTAACTTGAATTTAATAAAAATTTAGTTTCGTTTAACCGGTTAGTTTTACATCTACATGCTTATTATCTGTGAATTTTTACTACCATATGCTTAATATATTGTTTTGTCTGCTAATTTGAATTTACATGCTCTAAAAATCACGTTTGCAAAATGTCACGTTTACGGCTCAGCTCATCGTCGATGAACGGCGAGTAAAAATGCAACGGCGCCAACGGGTTCTCTGTGGATGAAAACCCGTTGCATTTTTGGATATGAAAGGTCTCTAGTGTAGAATTTGGTGCCCCTTCAATTGGTGATAAATTTTGTTCAGTTTTGGCGATGAAACTTCGTTTCTGGTTACCGTGATAGTTTTAACTTGGTTTCAGCTTGCTTATTTTTTTTTAAAGCGAAAATAGATTGATCTGTAAAGACAAAGGCAAAGCACAATGCCTAGTTTGTGCTATTCTGTGCTGCGGTAAAATCTTAATGCTTTTTTAAGTGAAAATAGATCAATATGTACATGCACACTGAGTTTGTGCAATTCTTTGACTTCTTTTGGTTTTGTGCAGCATCTTGAAATTGTGCCTTCCTGGTGTCGATCTTGGCATGAAAAAAGAATTGCCAAAAAAACAAGGACCACCCCATTGTAAACTTTAACCTGAAAAAGCCCCAGCTGTTACTCTATAACTGCGGTTCTCAACCTTTTGACTAATGCGAACCACCTAAACAAAAATTAAAAAACTGTAGTAGCACCACTACGTTTTTTACAATGCGGCTCAGCGGTTCTCAACCTTTTGACTAATGCGAACCATCTAAACAAAAAAATTTGTAGTACCACCACTACGTTTTTTACAATGATTATTTTCCAATTTCTCAATAGACATATTTAAAAAAGTATATATTTTGCCATTTTCACAACCTATTGGCTATTTGTATTAAACATGCACACATAAAAAATATTAGATTAAAAATTGGTTACCATTTTAATTATCTAAATTTTAGTTATAATACTTTAATTCTAAAATTTAGTGTGAAATTTGGGCCTGTTTTAAGAGAGATCAGTGTCTTTATGTCTGGTCGTATTTCAAATATTTTTAACAGTAAATTAGGGTCCACTTTTAATTTTGTTCTGTATTTATTTTTTAAGTGCAACGTGGAAGAAAATTTTTGTTCACACAAAAAGGTTGAGCAAGGAGGCAATAAAAATTTGATAGGTTTATTTTTAGCCAAAAGTTAACAAGTGTGTTATTTTTGAAATCTTGGTTGATCTTTACATTATGGTAACTTGGCGTTTTTTTGGCGAAAATTTGGCGACCAACTCTCCTACAGCAACCCTCTATTTTTTTTTTTTTGTTTTTTTTTTTTTTTTTTTTTTTTTTTTTTTTGTTTTTTTTTTTTTTTTTTTTTTTTTTTTTTTTTTTTTTTTTTTTTTTTTTTTTTTTCTTTTTTTTGTTTTTTTTTTTTTTTTTTTTTTTTTTTTTTTTTTTTTTTTTTTTTTTTTTTTTTTTTTTTTGTTTTTTTTTTTTTTCTTTTTTTTTTTTGTTTTTTTTTTTTTTTTTTTTTTTTCTTTTTTTTTTTTTTTTTTTTTTTTTTTTTTTTTTTTTTTTTTTTTTTTTTTTTTTTCTTTTTTTTTTTTTTTTTTTTTTTTTTTTTTTTCTTTTTTTTTTTTTTTTTTTTTTTTTTTTTTTTTTTTGTCTTCATTATGGTTTTTTTCTTTTTTTTTTACTGAACACTTCTTCCAACATCGCTAGCCGAATTACACTATGCGAATTTTTATCTAAAAACTTGCTACAATCATGACAAATAACTGCCACAATACCATACTCCTTACGCGTTTTTAAAATACAACATACCATACACCAGGTACAACGCCGACTTATTTTCTTAAAAACATCCCAAAAAAAAATGGCATTGCCCACACTATTCATATATCCATGTACACTGCTTTTTTCTCATAAATTAGAAAAATTTCATGAAAATACATGACAATTTTCTCAATCTTTAAACCCGGTAAAAAGAACATATATGAAATTACCTGATCGCAAAAAAGTATTTACCCTTTCCAAATATGAACGTTTCCACATATAAAATAAATAAAATATCCAAAAGCTTTTACCTCTAAATCATCTATTACATTATACACGTCACCAACGAATTCATACCGCAAAGCATTACAAATACCTAGTATCAATATTTAAATTATTTCCATGCACGTTTACTTCAACTTAAACATGTACCAAATTCCTACAAACATAAAATTCACAAAATACTACATTTAATTAAAATATCACTAAACCATGTACACGTCGACTTATTTTTACTTAAAAAAAACATCCCAGAATTGCACAAAAATGACATTCGCACACTCTTCACTATATCCATGTACACTGCTTTTTTCTCATAAATTAGAAAATTTCACGAAAATCATGACATTTTCTCAATCTTTAAACCCGGTAAAAGAACATATATGTCAGATATTTAAATTATTTCCATGCACGTTTTTTTTTCAACTAAAACGTATACCAAATTCCTACAAACATAAAATTTACAAAATAACTATCATTTAATTAAAATATAATTAAATTCAAAAAACACTACTTAAATATAAATGAGCACATACATTAAATTAATACATACATAAAATACCCATTTCGAATTCACTTTAGTTACGGCATGGGATCCAAAAATTCATGAACACTGTTTCACAAACACACAGAATAAAGCCAAATACAAAATTTCCAGATTTTTTCCCGATTTCCCTCCTTTTCCGATTAAAGAACCGTAATTTGTCCATTAATATCACATGACATATCCCATGATCTCTCATTTCCCTCACACAAAATAATGCGTAATCGGAACTGAGTACTGCTCACATTATTATTAAAGTGCCAGGTAGTAACCTTTATCGCCTCCAAAATGTCGCCAAACTACCAGTTACCATATTGTAAAGATCA